TCGTTTTCTTTATCTCGAGATTTTGTAGGGGAGAAGAGGTGCGCATTCGTTTTTTTTTCTTTATCTCGGTTTAAACAGTTCTTATTTCGACTTCATTCAGAAACGAACTATTTTATTCAATACCATACAGGAAGAGGACTTTTTCTTTTAAATTCAATGTCGTATACCCTCCCCCCAAAAAATATTCAATGGAAAAACTCATTTTGTTCACTTCTCTTCTGAAACAAATTGTATGTCTTTGAACTACGACTCCTGGTCAGATATGTTGTGTGTGTGCTGGTGATGGTGGTGGGCTGTGAAAATGTCTACCGAGATTTCAGAAGGGACAGAATGTTGACATAGAATCATGATTGCATCATTTACAGTATTTTATAAAAAAAAACAATTTTCACAATAAATCATAATTTTTTTTTATCATATAATATTATTAAATCAAAGTACTGAAGTACTGAACATCGGATGACCGCAGGTTCTTGTGGATGGTCAAAAGCACATGTCACAGAAACAGATCACATCTCTATACCTGAAACTGAGGTTAATTTACAGAGATATTTTTTTCTGATACAAGTTCGTGCTTGGATGATGAATAAATGACAGGTAATTCAACCTCACCATAATAACTATTATATTGTAGTGATACAAATCAGTATACCTTTGACTATTATACTAATATAATAATAGTCCCAGAGAATACACTGGTTTGTTGTTATATATTATATTAATATTACGTTTGCATGTATATATAATTTTCATCTATTTGTATATCATTCTATATTACTATTATTATAGTGCAGTGTAAGTGCATGGTGGACACTCTTCTGTAAAAAAATCAAAGCCTTGAAGGCTGTAAAAGCAATTGCTGCCATGTTAATGTTTTGGGGACTTTTATTTTTCATCCACATATATAAGAATTAAACCTGACAGGACAGGAGTGTTGTCTAGTGAGAAGCAAGAAGGTTTTAACTTTATATCAATAAAAGACTTTAGCAGGAACACATTTTTAATATGTTTTATATTTCACAAGGAGACAACAAGTTTACCAGGTTAAGTTGGGGTTAATTATACATGTGCTGAAACATATAACTCAAAAAGAAATCATTATGGATTATCCCCTGGTAGTGTTTGTAACTGGGCAATAATTTCCTGTATTGATTTAATTTTAACAATTTTCATAATTTTAAAATTTAAATTAACCATTCAGTTAAAACATTTCAACTTTCCAGACGCAAATGTTGAAAAACGGGACAGAAATAAAATATCTTACGAGACATAAACATGTAAAATATAATATATATTTCAGCTTACTAAAAATATTTTCATAATGTTACTTTGACATCATTTCTTAAAACTAAGTCCCGAACATAATTGCTCAGTTGATATGTGTCATCCTCATGCGATACGAGATAACTATAATTCTGATGCAATCCCGAAAAGGGGGTCATCACAGACAAACATGACATTAAATCGTCATTATACGAACAAGAACGAACAGCTCTATGTTGCTTTGATATTTATTAATTTTCAGGAAACATTGCGAAATATGATCTTGTTAAATGTGTTACCTTCGTTAAATAAAGAATTTTATTATTATTATTATTATTATCTTCAATTTTTCGAAAACATGTGAAATAAATTTCAGGTCCATTTCATTAGTAAGGGGAGTCAGTTAAGTTTGTTTATTTTTAGATTACAGGTAATCATTTGACACTACGTATAACCTGTGTGACCTGTGTAGTGATTTTGATTTTACGATAAAATTTATGAATGAACGATAATTTTATGAATGAACTAGAGCACCTGACCTCTTTCGTAAACACCAATTAAACATATAAAACCGTATTTAATAAGAGATAATTCAGTCAAATTTTCAGTATTAAATCAACAACTGAAATGATTCCATATTTTTTTGAAACATCGTACGAACGGAGAACGGAATCGTAGGTATAAAAATGAACTTTTTTCACTTGTAATGACCGCGGATCTATAATTTTTATAGATCGGTTGAAAACCCAAAACTAATTTGCATAATGGAAATTTAGGCGATAGCAATACATCGAAATGACCTTATGGTCATCGCGATGTAAAAAGCCGGTAATAGAACGATAGATTCGATTCACAATTTACAATTATAGTTTGTCTATTTTTTAAATATTAAATATTACAGCGATTTTTTGTATTCGTTATCAATTGATGCACAAAACTTTCACAAGAGGCTAATTTCTTAATTAACGAGGTCAAAATCCAAACGTTGTTAAATATTGATAACAAAAAAGTCTAAATTATTTTTTTTCATTTCTATCGCAGGGTTGCTGTGTCGTTTTATATATACATTTACTATAACCATTTTTATGATTTTGCAACATTTTAAAACATATTCGTTAGATCAAATCATCATTGTATATTGCAGAATGAATAAAGACATTCATGTTTGATGCAGTATTTCGGATTTGACCGGTCTTGATAAAAACATAAATACATAGGGCACATTTTTCCTGAATTTCTTCGATTCGCATAGCCGAAGTCCGAAAGTTGTTAGTTGAACACCGATAAGTCAAAATAATGCATAAATACTATACAGTAGTTTTACATAATGATACCCATAGATTTAAAAAAAAAAAAACGTTGTTCAGCGCTGTACATTGACGTTGAAGACAGTCACTACCAATTTCACATGATTTTATCATTAACATTAATCGATTCCTATTAAAAGTCAAACTGTAGCATTTAATTTACATTCATTGAAATGTTGCTTTGTATTTAGAAATTTCCTGCTAAACCTTTTTTTGTGACAAATGTTCAACATTTGCCAAGATCTATCAACATTGAGTTTGAGCAATCTTTAGTCATTCAAAATTGTTTGTATTAAGACATACTATAATAATGTTAGAACCTCAAATAGATATAGGAAGATGTGGTATGAGTGCCAATGAGACAACTCTCCATCCAAGTTACAATTTATAAAAGTAAAACATTATAGGTCAAGGTACGGCCTTCAACACGGAGCATTGGCTCACACCGAACAACAAGCTAAAAAGGGGCCCCAAAAAATTACTAGTGTAAAACCATTCAAACGGAAAAACCAACGGTTTAATCTATATAAAAACGAGAAACGAGAAACACGTATGAACTACATAAACAGACGACAACTACTGTAATCAGATTCCTGACTTAGGTGCAAACATTTGCAGCGGAATTAAACGTTTTAATGGTACCGAACCTTCTCCCTTTTCTGAAATAATAGTATAACATCACAACATAGAAAAACACACTATAAAATATCAATTGGAAGGCTTAACCCAATCAAAAAACGTAAATTAAAACACAATGAACGAATAAATTAGCACATATATGGAGCTTTCAAACTTTGAATTTAATTGAAGATTAGACGACTACTTCAAAACGACTCTGGTGTGTAATTATTACGGGAGAAATTAATATCTTTACATCGGAGGAAATTTATATACAACATGAATGGGTTTGTACCTGAAAAAAATACTGGTTGCATATACTTCCAATAGACATAACTGTCCGTTGTATCAGTTGTTTGGATAAATTACGCAAATTACGAATAACACATTATGCTGTTACAGCCACACCGTAAACACACTTACTTGTGATTCTGTAACTGTAAGTAAAGATTATAAGACATTAAAAATGGCCCTAGAGTGAAATAATTTCTGCAGAAATTGACCCTACCTTTTAAAAAGAGAAGCGAAAGATACAAAAAGGACATTCAAACTCATAAGTCGAAATTAAACTGACAACGCCATGGTTAAAAAAGAAAAAGACCAACAGAGAAATAGACAAACAATAAAACACAACATAGAAAACTAAAGACTGAGCAACACGAACCCCACCAAAAACTGGCGGTGATCTCAGGTGCTCCGGAAGGGTAAGCAGATCCTGCTCCACATGTGGCACCGTCATAAAAACTGGTTGCATATACTTCCGATAGACGTTTGTCCGTTTTTTCAGTAACTGTTGTTTGGATAAATACGCATTTCAAATTACGAATACAACATTATGCTGTTACAGCCACAGCGTATACACACTTTTTTGTGATTCTGCAACTATTAGTAAAGATTATAAAGAAATTGACCCTACCTTTTAAAGATTGAACTCTATACATTCATGTTAATCCACCGCAATATTGATTCAGAATTATTTTACAGTCCTCAAAAAAGATCTGAACACTTCAAATTTAAGATGCTGGATTTTGAGAGTTTATGAAAACAAACAAATTTATATTCATAGATCCCTCGTGTCAACCTTCGATATTCCATTGGTACGCGATTATATATTGTCATTCTATTTCGATGAACTATTATAAGAAAGTTTATTGTCATACATGAAGGTATGAATGGGGGTCCTTCATTTCTGTATTCTTTAATTTTTTTCGCTCATTATTCTTTATCTTTAAAAATAATGGCTATTCTGTAATTACTTGATAACTGTATTCTGGGCATTTTTTTTCTGTAATCAGTATATTTTACCCAACTATTTAATTTTTGCAGTTATTCTTTATATTTTAGCACCCCTTGATTTTCTATTATTTATTTTTTTGGTCCATTTTTCTCTTTTTTTTTCTATATGGAATTTGACAAAAGTTTTGTTTTGCTTAATTTTCATCCTTTTTTAAGAAATATATATATTGCTCTTGCATGGACAGCAAAGAGGAAACCATAATAAAAGGTGACTTCGATTATGACACGAGCAGGATACGACATGGATATTCATGTATTTTGTGTAATTTTAGGAAATTTATTAATCAACGGTTGAAAGGCAATTTATGTCATTTCAATATCACACAATAGGCAAGCACTACTTGTAAATTCATTTACCTGTTCAAAACAAATTTAGGATTTTCTTCAAGACAATTTAACAAAGGATAATAGCAACTTAATTTAATATATACTTTTGCGTTTAGGCAGAATATTTGCAGGACAGGCAGAACTCGGTTGAATTGTGTATTCGATAAATGCTTTCTGAATCACCACAACTTTCTGAATCTTATAAATTTTATCATTTTGACATTACAGTACATTTACAGATTTTTTTATTCAATCAAAGATCAGAATTCAAAATTCTTTTCCGATTTTTAATTTGCACTCCATTCTGTTATTTTTAGTGTTACAAATGAAAACTCACAGACCGAAATTACTTATCGTGCAAACTTCATTAGGTCCACAGGCGCAAAGTTTAGGTAAGTCAAAGAAAAGTCTCGGGACTCTTAGTATTATATATTACATTTTTTAGTTATTCCACTACATCAAACTAAAGTAAGCACGACATTCCTTCCCTGTCTCTTCCTCTCGGACTATTCCTATTATTTCTGTACCGCTGGCATTTAGCTTCAGAAAAATTCTACCAGCTTTTGAAAGTTCCACGGAAAAAGTTCCTATCATTTGGCATTTTGTATCCGTCGTATATTTTGGCGATTTCAGTTCGCTTGCATAAAATTCAAAATGAGCAATTTTTTGCTCGTTTACTAATGGGTAGTAATCGTGCTCCTGTTCAAATTCTCCAATTTTACAAACCTTCCCTATTTCGATATGTTTATCAAAAACGTCATCAACCATACGTTTACCACCACGTCCACGGACGGTAGCAATTTTGCTCGCGTCGTAAACATCCGGGTCGTACGGTTTCTGCATTGCTACACCATACGTATATTGTGATACCCTTTCGGTAATTGCATGGGGTTCGAATCCGTACAAAACTGCACCTTTCAACACGGCGAGCCCCGGGTCTTTCGGAACTATAACTGTAAGATTTGGAAACTTCTGTTTTATGGCGTTTATAAGAACAGAGGATTCAGAATAACCGCCAACAGCCAGCAATGTTCTTATATTTGCTATTGCTGGTTTTTTAAACAGGTCTTCGAATACTTTCAGTACATTGTTAATTGAATAGTCGAAAAACTTGCGGAAAAGTTCATATTTCATTCTTAGTTTATCTTTGTTTATAGTGACTTTACCATTGTAGGAAGAATCAAGGAGAGCTTCCTCTAAAGTTTCACCTGTGTTATCTTTAAATACTTCCATCCAGACAACAGGAATCCGTACTGTTACCATGGATTTCTCGTCAACGGTGAATGATGTCTTTTTGTGTTCGAAAGTTGTCATAAAATCGAAATATTCGGAGGGATGCTTATCGCGAATCTCTTTTATCACCGGTCCACTTAATAGGGTCGTCAAAAATTTGAAGAATTCCGCATTGACCGTGTTACCACCATAATGACCTCCGCAAGCCTGGTGAATTTCCTTCAGTGTATTCTGACCGGTTACTTCATGTACTGTAATATCTGTTGTGCCACCTACAAAAAAGCATTTATATTAGTTAAAAGGGCACATACCGGTATATATATCTGCTTGCAAGTCGCTTTTTAGAAGACATTTACCAGCTGTGCTCATTAAGGGACAGCCAGTTGTTTTTTGCTCATAATGCATGCATGTTCAGGACGAAATACATTAACAATAAATTAGGGATGGCCATTACTCCCTCAGAAGGTCCAGTACTCGAGTACAATTTTAGTACTCGGATACTCGTTTCCCTTTAAAAACCTTGAGGCATTTCCGCTCACTTTCGTTCCCTTTGAAATATCCCCTTCGTAAAACAACGTAAATAAAGTTCACCTCAAATCTAACGTCTTTCATTTAAATGCAGTACGGTAAAAATGCCTCCACCTAAATCAGCCGTATTGATTATCTAAAATCGCAAAAAGTGTTTAGCTTAGGCTGTTTTCTGCTCTATCGTCGGGTTGTTGTCTCTTTGACGCATTCCCCTTTTCCATTCTCAATTTTATTTAGCAGTACTAGCAACGCCTGTTCCTTCATGAGGATTTATTCATGAGCAGGACTTGTTGTAACAAAACTTAAAAACAGACTTTATATTCTGTTGTCATGCAAACAGTTCGAGTTCTGCAGTAATATGTACAATTTATGTCTTTCGTTAATATGTCAAGCAGTGTCATCATATTATAATTTGGTTTATGAAAAGTAATAACAAAAATACCGCATCCCAACAAAAATCAATACTTTTAACCAGACGTTAATGATTTATCCGAGTACTCGAGTACTCGCGAGTATCATGACCGAGTACTCGAGTATAAAGATCTTTTGACATCCCTACAATAAATACAATAAGTACAGATAGGTCCTGCAATAGGGCATCGACAGCAGGATGATTGGCGGGAAATTTGAATTGTCACTGGAAAATGAAGATATATTGGAAAGTGTCAGAAATTTAGCGTTTCATCACGCCACCTACGGATCAACCTCTTAAAGAGTTGTTCCTTGTTTCTTAGCGTGAAGGGAGCATGCCACTCTCTCTACACGAGGCATCGGAATTAACGTCCCCATTCTGACCGAATGTGACTGCGAATCTATACATCCCGCACAGCCAAACGGACGACCGACTTCGTCAAGGATATCGATTTTACTGCCATTCGGACGAAGACCATCGGATGACCGTACTTCTATACCTTAGTCAACCCTTAGGGTTTTAAAACATTGGCTCTGCTGTTCTAATATAACAGGTTTTTACCCCCTTGGTCAAAAACGATGTACTGTGATCCATTCTGCATTGCTGCAATAGCTTTTCCACCATCCTTTGTTGTCTCCACTGAAACAGGAACTTTTCGACAATACAAAGATGCTGCCTCAGGTTCCAACGCTAAAGTCAGCTGATCACCAGATATCCCTGCCTATCATTAAAAAGATCAAAATCAAAGTTGCTGGAAAATGTGCAAACATCTTTCTTATATCTTAATGTTGATTTTATGCGGGTTTTTTTTTTGTCATATGAGAAACTATGTGTTGATGATTGATCTTTTATAGACTGTTTTGAAATAATTGACAGGTGCCACATGTGGAGCTGGATCTGCTTACCCTTCCAGGGCACCTGGGATTTTCCCCGGTTTTTGGAGGGATTTGTGTGACTCAGTCTTTAGTTTTCTATGTATTGTTTTGTATACTGTTGTTTGTCTTTTTGTATTTTTCGTTTTTTGCCATGGCATTGTCAGTTTATTTTCGACTTATGAGTTTAAAAGTCCCTTAAGTATCTCGCCTTTCTTTTAAGAATTGAATACTTCTTTTTGTAAATTTATTGGGGTGTAAAAGCGTTGACCGAAGAACATTTTGTATGAAGCGCAATAAAATTACTAAAAGAAGCATTCAATACTTATAATTACATTTTTTTGCTAGGATCATGAAAAAAGCTCGTGACATCATGAATGTTACATTTCATTTTGAAATGAAGGTTAATTTCAGAATGACGCGAAATTGCTGTTATCCAATCAAAATAACGTATTACAATGAAACATACATATAATGTAATTATTTGTATATATATACCGGTCTATACCTGATTACTCTATGTTGACCTGCAGGTTGTTTGTGTTGTTGGGTTGATGTTTCATATATGAATATCTCACATCTTTTTATTTACACGTCTGTTAGGTTAAAAATCGAATTTGCTCTTTAATTTTTGACAAAAGAAATGTAAATTAAGTTCCAATAATTGGTTAACACTGCCTACTGCTACTACATTTTGTAGTTATGATTTGTATTGTCCATATGCCACCATTGTTTTGTTTTGTTTTTGTTTTTTTTTGTTTTTTGTTTTTTGTTTTTTTGTTTTTTGTTGTTTTGCTTTGTTTTGTTTTGTTTTGTAACACATGCGTGAAACCATTACCTTTGCTGCTGCATCTTTCATAAACTGCTTTGCCTTTAAATCCCAGATAGCTGGTACCGTAATCACCCAATGAATGTCATTGTTGTCAAAATACTCTTTGTCGTCATTTCTGTCTTTGAAGTACTTTAGTAGATGTTCTTTAAAGTATTTTATGACGGCGGCAAATACATCCACAGCATTCATTCTGTTCCCAGCCTCCCTACTGTCTTCTATGATTGTATCTTGTGTTAACTCATCCTTGTATAATTTAAAATGTTGATGTTATATAAATTGTGACCTATGATCGAAAAGAACTTGAATTCAGAATTGCATTTTTCAAAATACTAATGATTTTCTACTCCAGGAATAAATTACCTTAGCTGTATTTGCCCAAACTTTTCGGAATGTTAGGTCCTCAATGCTAGTCAATTTCGTACTTTATTTAACCTTTTTAACTTTTTTTATTCGAACGTCACTGACGAGTCTTGTCACGTAGTAATAACACCACGTTGATTGCGTTGGATAAAAACCGCAATTTTTATACGTGTGCATGCAAAACAAATTTCTTGTTAGAGGGGTCTAAATACAGCACAAACAACATTTTCCAAAAGACCAAAAAAAGTGAAAAAGTATATTTTAACAAAACGCATTTGACTAACAGGTCGAACAACAATTGTCTTAAACCCTGCTGACTGCCATTGGCGATTGCCAAATAACACGGATCACCGATGTAATAAATTGATCTTAATTATAAATTTAATACTAAACAGAAAACAATAAACTTGCGGAAAAGATGGTATACCGCAAACAAAAGGTGCAAAGGTTTTTGTACACCATATCCGGATTTCGACAATTAATGTCTCTTCAGTGATGTTAGGAATCGAAACGGTATTTGGAAAGCCATTAAATTCACCTCAATTTAGGATAGACTCTTGAATTTTGAGGAGTCAAAATAGGATGAACGGATCATATAAACCCGAAGGCAAATATAATACAAACCCAAACGAAAAAATATAAACAAGTCTAAATTGAAAACAACGTTCAAACCTATGATTGCGTTGGATATATATATATACAACTCGTCTAACATCAGCCCAACAATGTTAGATCTGTAAATTTGCTTTCGCAAATTTTTAGTTCTTCCCTCGCCGGGATTCGAACTCATGCTACTGAGATATCGTGACACTAATTCGCCTGCACTGTATCCGACGCTAGACCACTCGACCACCTAGGCTTCACAATAATAAAGCTTTCGGTTGCCGGGTGTTACCTTTCCTCGTCAGTTTTAATCTAGCGTCGTAATACAGTACATGATATATAAGGCATGAAGATGGACTTGTTATAGATTAGCTGAAATATCTATTGTAAAGGATCCTACAAATTAATGCAAGATACAGTCACAGAAATAATTATATTTATAAGTACGTCTGAACCAGTGACAACTCTACAACAGATTTATCCATCGGATTACCAGCAGTGATGGTGATACATGGCTGTGTACATTATATATATATATATATAGAAGTCTATAAAAAAGACCAACCAGCAAATTTAATACGTACCGGATCGTCTAGGATAGACGATACTGCGCAGATAAGGAAAAAATTATATAAGTTTAAAGATTTGCACAATGGTACTAATATAAGATGGTAATATACGAAGATAATGTTATAAAATCGTGTTGACAAATATTTCGGCTTAACAAATAGCCTTCGTCAGTGCCAATTATTTTAAGAATAATATATATATATATTCATGTGCTGCCTGTTATTTGGAGAATTTTGTTTTTCTTTTGATACTTTCAGTTTAATGTAATTATTATGTTTTAGACTCGCAACCCTTATGGGCTTTACATATCGTACCAGGTCAATTATATTAAGGAATAATTTATGTTTCCTCTAGATGTCTCTAAGAGTATTTGTGTTGCCTGGTTGCCGTCTCATATGCGTATACTTACATCTCCTTTTGTGCATTACAAAGTGCAACTCTGGGAACAGTATATATGTGTGCAACTCAATTCAAAAGTTCGAAAATATAAAGAAACTAGAACACACCCGCGACATGGGTCCGTGACTGAACTAAAGTACCTTTGCCTTATTTTTAGCCTGGATTTGTAGTAATCCTATAATCATCTGAAAAAGTCATGCTGATTGAAAGGTGCACAGTGTTCTATGCTTTCCAAATTTTTCTGTTAGAACCTGTCCTGGTTTACTTGCAACAATAAACTTAATTACTATATACTATCTTTTTTTAACTAATTAACCAAAATAAATAGTGGTACTGAGGTGGAAGAAAACAGACTTGTTAAATAGTGTACTGTAGTGTATTATAGATTTAAAACAACTACCGGAAGAATTCCAGGTTCTCCTGATAGAGGAGGGATTTACAGTGGGTAACGGGTATATACAACCGGAAACTACATGTGACATATATATACTATTGGTATTGGTATCGGATTCGACTCGGAACTTGTTAATTATTGGTTATATTATTTATGTGGAAAACGAAAGGGCCTGGAATGGTGTATTTTTTAAACAACACCATTGTCCTATATTAGTTATATATGAAGTTGAATTCTTTGATTCGCTGTTTTTACATCATGCCGGCTAACAAATTGGACCTCGTTATTTCAGTAGAATAGATGCTTATATTAAGACTATAATAAGCTTACCTTATCTGTGTAGAGTTTCATTTTAAAGTGTTTATAGAAGTACCATTCTTTGAAGTCAATATTATCAGAATTTTCGTGGTAAAATTTCTCTGCATCAAATCCGAAACTATGGAAGGTTTTATTAGGACGAAATAAAACGGACGTAGGTGCCTTGTAACTTAATCCTCCATCTCGTTCCCAGGTCGGACAATGTATTTTAGAGTTGTCGCCTTTATTATTTTCAAATTCGTCCTTAGTCAAGCAGGCATATCCTGAATATGTTGTCCCAAAGTCTATTGCAGCGACTAGAAGTTTATTTTTCTTTTTATTCTGAAAAATTGAAAACATGTATAATCCCGTTTGAATGGTTTTACACTAGTAATTTTGGGGGCCCTTTATAGCTTACTGTTCGGTGTGAGCCAAGGCTCCGTGTTGAAGACCGTACTGTGACCTATAATGGTTTACTTTTATAAATTTTGACTTGGATGGAGAGTTGTCTCATTGGCACTCATACCACATCTTCTTATATCTATAAACCCTTTCTTGGGTTTGACAAAAAAGTTTAAAATCAAATATTTCACAATGGAAATGAAAGATTTCTTGCACAGTAAAAAACTCAAATCGTCTGCTAATTTTCATTCAAGGATTCGTGTATAAATGGTAAAATTCCCTCATGTTTAAAATGAAAAAGACTCTCTCTTTTATTTCAATATCCAATTGCCATAATTATAAAACATTATGGATCCTGTACTCTGAGGCAATGTTGGCCTTATGATTAAGTGTTCTATATATAGGCGTTTATGCTCTCAAAGTTATTTATAAGAAAGAGCAAAGACTAGTTGGTCGGGAGTAAGAACACTGTGCCCACTAAAGATAACGTGTTCCTTTGAATTGTTACCTTGTGAACTAGCTATATCCGGCTCTGTCTATCGGGCACGTACAAAGCAGGGTTCATATTACATTTATATGTTCCCTTCCTAAAATGCATGCTCTATTCACCACTGAAAGTTAAGAACACAACAATACATCAATTTTTCTGACTTACCTCAATGTCTTTGACAATATTGGCACCATCATGTTTCGCCTGAAAAGAAAAATATAAAATCAAAGACAAAATTTAAGTTTGGTGTAAACATTCCTATTCAGAGGAAAGACGCGATGTACTAGCATTTACATTATTGTACTGATATGTAATATTGTTTCCATGACGAACGTTTCAAAAGAAATTACATCAATTGTAATTTGCATGCTGCACATTTTTGTCACTGTCGTTAACTTTTAACGAGCATACATCTTTTCAAATCATCAAATCAGATGGGAACGTTCGAAAAAAAAATAGTAAAAAAGAACATTGTGTCTATAATTTTATAATTTTAACAAAAACCACGTCCACCTCAAAACGTCATGAACGTGGGCAAACAAATTCAAATGAACAAACAAACAAAATAAACCCACTAAAAAGGCTGTTCTTTAGTTCATGGAAAATTCTCTTATAATTTCGATTACCTCGGAAGCTGATGTTGTGTTTCTCTTTGACAAGTCTGCACTGCGACTGTGTGGTGGTGGTGACTGAAATTCGTAATTAAAACACTGCGAATTTTATGACAATTGATCCATCATACATAGTGACTACTTTCTCCGTATTGTTGATAGTAGAACATTTTTTCAATGCAAAGATGATCTTTTTAAAGCTTCCTTAAGCTTAAAATTACAAAGTTGCAATACGAGAAAAATTCGATGTAAAACATCATGTTGTATTTCAATACTTCAGTCATTTTTTAGTAAACCGGGCTTAGGAGATTAATGTATCATGTGACCTCGTCTATACTAAAACAGAAAAGAATGCAGCATTGTCTTTCATGAGATGTAATTTTAAAATGATGAACAGATTAGTCTACCCTTAATGTAATTTGGAATTTAGTATTTGATTTTTTTTTAAATTTTGGTTGAACAAATTTTCTTGTCTTGTGATTCCGTGTAAAGCCGTCTGAGAGTTCAAGACATCCTGAACATGAATACCCGTGAGTTGAATATTTTTTCAGCCCTCTAGTTTATGATTTGAAAGTACACATACATATATTGAAACTTGTATAACAAAATATAAACTTAATATACACTTCAAGAGAGACAACTCTACATAAAAAAAAGTATACAAAACGCAGATTTTTGTCTGTTAGTAAAATCACGAAGTAAGTGTGAAGATTTCAGTGGATGAGAGTCATTTATCCGGAATACTTTAACCTTAATCAGACCAAAAGGTTTGCTTAAAACACTCTTACTCCTCCACTCTTCTTAATCCAGAGTGGCGGATTCGGGAGGGGGTTAAAGACGTACACCCCTTTTGATTGGAACATTTATCATTTTTAGCAAAGAATTGTAAAAATAATTATTCGTCTCTCCTCGTTTATCGGTATTTCTTCAGGTTTATGGAATTTTATGGAATTACGCTCCCTTTTAGGACACCCCCCAGCCCCTAACCCGAAATCTACAGAGGATCAACAACAAAGTCCGAATTAAACATCAGAAACATACATGTTAACATTTGTACTTCCTTATAATCTATTTTAATTATTGTCTATTTAACTTAAAACTATACCTCTGTTTTGTTGGAAGATCTTTTCGAAGGTTCAGCAGACGTTGTTTTGTCAGACGCTTTTGTCTTTTCACTGTGATGTCTAGAGGCTGTTGTTGTTTTCGAATCATCCTGTGATGTTTTGGTTGGCGTTTTGGCAGGAGTTTTCTTGTCACTTCCCTTTAATAAAAAGAAACAGTCACCTATAGGAATATTTGCAGCTTTTAACGGACACACCACACTCATTGTGACATCAACATAGCATTGCGTTCAAATTATTTTGCTTATCTAAAAGACTATGTGCCATTATTTCAACATCTTGATGCATTTAATAAACTCAAACACATTCTAAACCCCACCCCTGAACTTGTTTGTCATATTGGATTCTTCATTAAGCAGTCTTTAGAACTGAGGGGGTCAGACCCAGACCCATGACAGACAAGTTTATGATTGTGTTTTTACATAAATGTTTTAATTGAACTCTTTCTTAGAATACATCGTATCGTATCGTATCGTATCGTATCGTATCGTATTGTATTGTATTTAGTTGTATCATTGTTTGTTTGTATTGCTTGATCCTTATGGGTGTAATTTTGCAACAAAGATAAATTAATGATACTGAGAAACGAAACATACTCAAAGGTCAAAGGCTATCCAAATCTTATACTAGTAACTAATTGACTTACGAACTTGTCATTAAATGGTATTTTGTATTTGCATGTACCGTATTGAAATTAAGTTACTATTATTTTTCATTTGATTTATTGGTCATTTTCTTTTCAATTTATGTGAAATCGTTGCAAGATTAATAAGTTGCAATCTGATACGCATGCACATCCCTCGTTAATTGAATAAATATCCCGGAAGAGAACAAATTAATAAGAAATCCAAAATGGTTATTTCAGCAAAAAAGGATAATATATGGTGATGTATGTTTAGCATATTGACTTCAACTTTACATGCGAGTGTTTTAGCTAGGGGGTCAGAATGTTTGTTTACGAAAGGCCATTTGTGTATCCCTCAAGAAGTTGTCGTAGAGGTTTTTAACCACGCGAGCTCTCTTTTTCTAAACGCAGCATTGGATTCCATGGTATTATTCCAATCAGATGAGGCTGCATATTTATATATCCAACATAGCCAAAGGGACTCCCAATTTAATCGCAAGTTTTACAGCTGGGTTAAACAATGACAAAGCCGCACATCCCATTTCTTATGACCACCTTTAATATGTTTAATATTTATTTGTCGGTGTTGTTTTGGTTTTTTTTTTATATAGAAAATGTTTATCTATACATACAATATATCTATTGCATCGAAAGATTTTTATCTTAACATTTTTTCTGGCGCCCTCTCATGGTTATCAACCCAATTATATTGTTAAGTAAAAGTTTAAAATTACCCGTGATGCTGGTGGTGCTGTACTAGGCCTCGACTGTTCCGCACTCGTCTGAAAAATAAAGGAATTCTAAATAATAGTATAATGATATTGAAGAGGAAGATATATATTATATAAAAAGAAAAGAAAAACAACAGAGGAAACAGGGAACAAAAAAGAAGGAACCCGATAAAGAAGATGATTTCATGATAATAATTATAAAAAAGATAGTAATAATAATAATAATAATAATAATAGTAATAATAATAATAATCAGATAGAAGTAGGGTAGATTTAATGTGTATTTGATAGTAGCTGCTTAATTTATGTCACAACTTGATTTATCATAGAGATAGAGAGATAAAGAACTCGACATCCATATTTTGTAAAGCAGCCATTTATATTGAGCCCGTATGATTACTGGTCTTCTTTATATATTTTTGAGTGTCGTTGGATTTCTGTCTAATTGACTTGTGAATGATATACCACTTTCTTTATCAGTTGAGAAAGATCAAAAGGCAAACAGTACACTCATATTGTCTATCGTTTTAATATTTATGTATAACAAAATCAAAGAATTATATGTGATTTAAAAGAAACTCATCTTTATAAATTTTTTTTAAAGTCTATTAATGATCTCCGACCATTTTAAAACCGAAGATATAAATTATTTTAACCATGTACACACAAAATGTCATTGAACTTGTCAGAAGTCGTTCAAATATTATCTTAAGGTCATATACCTTGAAGATTTGAACAAGTACGACATGTCGTTGGTTTTTTTTTTAAGTAGTTTATATTATGAGGTGCATTCTTTGTATCATGGATGCTTACCCTTTTCTTTTGGTTTATTTCACTTCCTGCAATTTTACTTGAAACAAAACGATTTTTAGTCTAATATAAAAATTATATCTGCTAGGGTTTTGGACAAGATTTTATATGAGGGTGTGCATGGGAGTCCCTAATTTCTTTATTCTTTAATTTCTTTTATACCGTTTGTTTCTGTTCTTTATTTATTTGTCTGGGCCATTATGCTCTGCTATTCATATATAAGCACCCCGTGTTTTTCTATTCTTTTTTTTTTCTTTGCCTTTTATTCTGAACGTTTTGCCCATTATTCTCTATTTTGTAAACCCCATCCAAACCCTCTTATATGAGATGAGAGTTTAATGATACAATACTCTTGATTCAATATAAATAATATAGGTATCACTTTGTCCCTACACATATCACTGTAATCTTTTTGGTTTTAATTGCAAAATAATATGATCTACGTTCAGTAACTATGAAAAAAAAAACATGAATATAACTTTCAAATAGTCTTATGAACATCCTTATTCCTAACATTTTCTTAATACTTAATATGGAAATAAATCTGCATTGCACATAAACGACATACGATACGCTAATATCTTTACAAAACACTTTAAAATTTTAAAATGCGCATATTGCGTGGGTACGTATTTTAAAAACATTGATTGCTGATAAGGGTCATTAACTAGGACTTTAAGTAAATATCTACCGATATATTTAATTTTTGATTGCATTTGATAATTTTTTTTAAACTGGTTGGTTGTTAAGTTGGCGAGGGAAGTATACCCTGTTGACACACACATAGTGTCATTCCGCTTTAAGTTTGTCCGATTTCGACAGTTTTCATACGAGTGCCAAATTCGTATATAAAAAATAAATGTGGTATGATTGTCATTGATACAACATTCTACTTTAGAAGTAAGTAATGATACATGTAGGTCACAATGCCTTACAAGAATATGTTTGGCAACTTTATTCAACACCATTTTTTTAATAAGTTACAGGAACGAGATTGTTTTGGGTGAAACTCAGTTACGTATCGTCATGTGTCCTAAATGGAAACAAGCTATTTGTTTGCTTCCCTTTTCACACATTTCTTTCTGAAGATATGTGGAATCAACAAAAAAACTATACCCCACCGCCAACATAAGATAAATGGTACCACAAAAGACAATGTTTCATATGTGTTAATACAGACTGCTGAGACTGTATTGCTAATTATGCCTTATCCTACATGAAAAAGGAGATCTGAGGTATTCAACAATGAGACATCAATCAAACTGACACACAAAAACACACGCATCTAGAGCTCAACATAAAAATAGTCTGTTTAACCCCGTCACATTCTGTGTGTGCCTGTCCAAAGTCAGGAGCCTGTAATTCAGTGGTTGTCGTGTGTTGCTCTGTATCATATTAGTTTTTCGTTTATTGCTTTGTAAATAAATCAGTCCGTTAATTTTTTAGTTTGAAATGTTTAAACATTGTCATTTCGGGCCTTCAATAGCTTAATAGGAAGTATGGGTTTTGCTCATTGTTGAAGGCCGTACAGTGACCTATAGTTGTAATTTCTGCGTCTTTGGTCTCTGGTGCAGAGTTGTCATATTAGCAATCATACCACATCTTATTTTCATATTCAATAATATAAAGGTGTCTTTACAATATATATTGATCTCCAAATCCACCGAGCTTGAAAATTGTGAATAAATTTAATCATTAAGCAGAGACAATCAAACTCCAAACATCAAATGTTACAAATCGCAAAAAAATAACAATAGATAGATATTGAAACTAATAATCACGTAAAAATATATCGTTTAGTTATAGGTTTTTTTGTGTAGCTCATTAACTTGCAATATTTCAACAATGATATGAGGGGTATAGATAACCAACCGCCAGTTAATTATAAGATTAAGGATATACATAAGGATATACATGTATATCCGAATATGAAACGTGCAACTTTAATGATCTTCTTGCTAATTCCATAATTAATTGACCTATTTTCTGCCAATCCGTGTGAATTACGGCGACAACATGTAAACTTCTGTAAGTCAGAGTAGAGAAATTCCTTTGGTAAATGCACACTGATTGTAAAGTTACACTAGAGACCGACATTTTTGGGGATTGACACAGGACCTCTTTTTATACCTTTGGGGCAAATCATTATTATTTATTATTATTATTATTATTATTGAAGCGCTTACATGCTGCAATATCAACATTGCATTTGTGTAAAACGTACTTAGTAATTTTATAATTTGTTTATGCACATCATAAACGGTTGGAACAAACGAATATCATACGTGTATTAAACAAACTCCTTTCTTACTTATATTTTCCACCTGATATAAGAATACCGTAGTGTACATTTTTCTCTTGGTATCTTTCTTCTCTTTGTACTATCATGTATGTTTGTAATACTGAGATGATGATGATGATGGTGGATGGCTGCTTAACGTCCAGCAGCAAATTCATATGCATATTCAGGACAAGAACATGATAATGTAATAAGAATATTAACTCTGCTATGTATCAGACCTATACGCTGAGCCGGATTTTTAACGTACTAGTTCACAAGGTTACAGTCCACAGGAAGACCAGTCACCTTACCCGGACACATTATTCTGACTCCGAGCCTACTAGTCTTTGCTCTTACTCTTAATATCGCGTGCTTGGCGGAGAAGTAGCAAATACCAATTTTAAAGTCTTTGGTTTGACCCGGCCGGGGTTCGAACCCACGACCTCCCGCACTCGAGGCAAACACGCTACCACGAGACCACCAAGGCTGTATGTAGTACTGAGAAAATGCCTGGGTAAACTCTAGTGTTTCAGTATCATGTTCATAAACTTTCTAGCATAGTATATGTTCCATAGAAAGGTGGTCGGTCCCAGCCGTAGAAGACCTAGCTGCTTAGAAAGCTACTGCATGCACACGTACAAAAATATGTAGATAGACCATGAGGAATATAATTGAAAAAGTCAATCAATAAATCTTAGAACCGAATACAACATACTGTCATATCTATATGCAAAACAGATTTTTGGCAAACAAACCCAAATAAAAACATTATGATAAATCAATATTTTATCAGGTTTATCATATTTCTATTATTATAAAAAATGAAATGATGCCACTTCTCTATTTACATGTACTTCTTTATACAACTCTGCTATTGAGGGGCTGGTGACATCTGCTTTTTGGGGTGAAATGTACACAATGAGTGGTAATTGCAAACAGAACATCATTTGAAAAAAAGCTTTAATACAATAGAAATGAAATAATACACCTTCTTTGTATAATATCAAGCATGAGTCCCAGTATTTAACTGTTTATTAAAGGGCTGGTGACTTCTGCTTGTTGGGTTCAAATGTAAATAATGAGTGGTTATTGTAAACATATAATGTTTAAACAAGCTTTATTACAATAGGAATGAAATAATACTCACTCCTCATAAAAAATCAAGCACAAATGTCTGTTTTTAAGACTGTTATATGAAGGGTGGGTGACTTCTACTTTTTGAGGTCAAATGTGCATGTATAGTAACCAACATGACCAAGGAGTGATAATTACAAACAGTTCATAATTTGAAAGAAGGCTATATTGATTCGAACATGTTGACGAAATATCTTTATGGTCAGATTGATGTTAAAAAGTTTATAGATGGTAGTATATATATAGAAACGTTTCGAATGAATCCCCCCCTTTTTTTATTTTCTGTTAAATCCCCCCAACCTTAATTTTGTATGAACTGTTTACAGTAAATGTTAGTTAACTATTATTGTTTCTAATGAACAGAGCACTGCTTTCCCACTTGAAGACAAGCTAAACACTAAATGTACAAAATGTACATCATTGATGAAAATTCAAACTATGGGGGAATGATCTCATTCTAGATAACATTAACAAGTATTTAGGGCAATAGGGCAGTGTCCTGCAAACGCAATAAAACAATACCAAACATCGTACTTTACATACAAAATGCAAGACGTAAATATATTTTGTGTGTAGTAAGGTCATAGTTTATGCACTTTGTGTATTCGGTAATTATAAACAACAAAATAACATAAGGAATGTTTACTTACCGATTGCTTGCCACCCATGATATATCTATCTCCGCCTAAATAAAAAGCATTTAGGTTCTGTAGCTGGCTATTGTTATCAATAATCCGACTTTTCAAAGACTTTTGATAATAAAATTATGTAATATGTAAAAATAAAGAACATTATGAATCAACAAACATTATTTGGTTGATATGAGATATTACTTCCTTTTTCATCACGTGATTTTTCAACTATAAAATAGTATATTTATAGATATTTGATAGCACACATTTCCTCATTCATAAAATAGTAAAGTGGATACTTTCATGTTATATTGAATTGTTTAAAAATAAATTCATATAAGATTCAGTGTCGATCTCTGACTTAGGGAACAATTCAATCTGTTATTAATTAAAAAAATGTCCTTTCACTTTTATTAATTCGGATCAGTTTTGTTTTGTTTTCTTAAAAAAATCCGTTCTGCAAAAATGAATTTCTGGCATTATACTTATATTCTTGTTTATTCTCCGATTGAACTTAAACAGTTTGTTGTATTCTCTAAGAGTCCGCTCGGTGCATTTTAAATAGCGAAACCTCAAATCCTGGCTTCGAGTCTGTATGCAACTGGAATCTGTAAGACATAAAACGTGTTCATAAGGACAGAAGAGGTGGGGCAATAAAGAGTTCGTGAAAAAACGTTTGAAAAATTTAGAAATATAAAGGGTAAAAAGGGGGATTAACATGTGTTTGGCCTTCGTACGCATGCTACATGTAGCGGTTAAAATTGAGCCTTAATATGATTCCTCTCGTGTCAGAAACAGAACACAGAGAAAGGAAAAGATGGAAATAGTAGGAAGAAAACTGTTAACATGGTTAATGCAAATGAATTATGATTGAGACTGAATTGTGCAGCATTAAACTAAGAATCATTTGTACAAAAATGTATTATACTGTTACGAATTTTTTCTTACCATGCACGTATATATATGTGCAAATTATACACATGCAAATGAAAGGGGCGCACATCTCCTTATGATCGAGCTACACATATGGTTTATTCAAAGAATTTAAATAAGTCCCTCTCCTAACCTTGCCTTGTCCCAGTTAGTTAGTATCTGCATCTCAAATTTATGTTAAAATTTTACCGATCTTCTGCAAGAATACGATGCACCTTTTATGTATACATATGCATGTGTGAATTTTGTTTTAATATCCTAATCAATATATTTTTGTTTTATTTGAGGTGCCGATATGAATCTTCATATATATATATGCACAACGAGGCTATATGACACTTGATCTTTCAGTAATACTATAATAGGGATATTGAAATAATAGTGGCGAATATTGTACCAAGACGGGTTTTACATTTAGGAGTTTGCTAGTTATTATATTCATACACACTCATACAAAGACCCCTGTTATTGTATAACTGAAAAACTGTTTAAAAGATATCTTTATCACTGATGATGTCGATAATTTGAAGCTGTAATTGCATTAGTGTAAAATGACAGCATATTGCAAGCTAATTTTCGTTATGGTCTGTAAAAAATATCAAGTTGCTACACAAAAAAAGTCTGTTATTTTCGGATACAAATATATTTATAGAAACTGACATGATTTCTCTCTTTTAAAGATAGCCTATGTATGGCTGGACAGAAGAAGTGTTGTACATCTTAGATTAAAGGCGGGAACATTGGTACATGGGCGAAATAAAAACTGATATGTTACTTACGCGTGTGGTCTGGGTAATTGACTGGATAAAAGTTGAAAGATGTCCCATAAATTGAGAGTTAAAAAAAACAAACTTATTCAATCACTGTTTACTTAAATGATTATAGAAATAAATTGCATTTTACTAGAGTCTAACACGTAAGAATTATAGTAAACCCATTTTTACATGGCCATTGTCGACTTTAAAATAGCTTAAAGAAAAAATTAATGAATAGTTAAACAAAAAGACAATTATTCAACTGACATAAACTTTAGTCATTTAACCCTCTTTCTTTTCTTAATCTTAATCTATTTTTGGCATTTAATAGACATAAGAAGATGTGGTATGAGTGCCAACGAGACAACTCATTTGCTTTTATTTTTGAATTTCTGACTAATTTCAAAATGTTTGTTCCTTATTAGCGAGGTCTTACAAAAATGTACTCCACTTCACAAAATCTTAAAATAATAATACAAAGGAGTATGAACTATAACACCTCAATTTAATGAAAATGAATAGACTGAAATTAGAATAAATTCTGTTTCTGAAATACTTTTTAACATTATCCTGCAATCAGTCAACTATTGTACAAATAGTGGAGCGGCGAATGTTGAAAAGTCGCTTAGTTAACGAGTTTAAATTACCTAAATACCTCATGGAATCTTAATGTCTTAAATTGTCTATAGATTATTCAGCTTTAGAATAATAATTGTCGTAAATATCAAATGTGGTACAAATGACGTTAAAAACAGCCGTAACTGACGTTACCCAACTTGCAACGAATACCCCACTACTGATTCGGTAGACAAATCTCATAACTAACACCTTCTAAAAATAATTTTTGAACGAAATTGGTAAATACAGTTACTCTTGAACCTCATACACTATAACGGCATTTTTAAGTAGTCCCATATATAAAGCATAATACATCTATAATTGTTAAAAATATCACCGAAAAATACTCGTTTTTTACCTAGCATGATTTGCACGTGCAGTATATATGTGTGTTTCAAAGGTACAACAGTAAAGCCGCCGTATAATACTTCAATCGACCCGATTTACTTGTTTAAGTTAATTAGTAAAAAGATAAATATTTGGCTAAGTATCTGTGTTTTATGAGGATTTCGAGTCCGGATATTTGTCACACATTACCCTACACTGTTGTGGTTTCTAGTTATACGCGATTAAACGAAGGTCATTTGTAGTCATTATCAAGCTGATTTCTTGTTCATGTTAGAATTTCCGAAGCCCCCGGCTTTGTGATTTTTTTTTATATTGTTTGGTATTGTTGTTTATTCGTTTATGTTGAATTTAACCGAGAAAGTGAATATTATTGTAGGGTTCGTTTGGTTTTCAGGTGTGTTTGATTTGTTTTGTATTCAAGTAAATGGACAATTGCACTGTCTCGTTAAAACTGGCTCCGCCCGATGCAAAGAAAAGGCGAGTTGTAGTTGGTGTTGACAAATGCATTATCTGAGATTCTGGTGTTGATGAAATATTAATTATATCAACAGAATCTGGACGAAACATGTTCGATAAATGCTGCAGCAAAGAGACGTGATGATTTGTTCGTTTTTTAAATGAATTCTGTAATGTTACAGTAACTGCATCAATCGTATTTAGTTTTATAGGTCGTGTAATAAAGCTGAACAAGTGAGCAGAATTTGAAATCAGAAGCACAGTCCTTTGTAATGTTATCAATTTTGACAATGTACCAGTCTTTTTTACAAAATAAAAGTAGCAAAACCTAAATTTGAGAAACACTAAAACACTACAGGGCTGCCATTGTGTTCTCTGCTGAACAAGGACAAGATTAATCTAGCGTTGTATTTATAGCGCTATTTCTATTATAGATGCTGTTAAGGCCGCAAATAACGTCAATGCAGAATTAGAATTAACAGCTTGAAGGATAACAGACAATTCAGTTCAGTTTACGCCATTATTTCGTCTTTTGATCAAGTTGTCATCGGTATTCTGTCGATCGTTCATGCTTTGGTGTTTAATACTGGTTTATACGAAATCGCCCAACAATTTGAATTTGCTGAGACATCAGTTGACTATAGTTATAGATAAAAGTATTATAAAGCTTCCGCCATGTGAATCAGTATTTTAACAACACGTACTTCGTGCTATGCGGCAAAGCATAGTTTTGGTGGCGGCAAATTTGGCAAACTCAAATAATGGCTGACCGTGTGCCTTTGGTCGGAAAATTGTGCAAAATGACAGGTGGAGCCAGTTCTCTTTGAGGGACAAAATGGCATCAGACATCCTACAATATCTTATTTGTTCGTATAATGAGAACAATCATACCAGAATTGATGTGTTTGCAAGGAGCAGGGTCTCCCTTGCACTTATTTGTGCTTTTGTCAAAATGTAGCTAATTGCAACAATATCCTGGTCGTATCAGCCGACTTAGCTAATGACATAGATGAATTATCATGAAAATTGTTTTTTTTTGTTACATATTTAGTAAATTAAATTTGATTTTTTCAACGTTTAATTTTGTATGGACACGGGCATGTCTCACTTTTTGCAATTGTTATATAACACGCTTGCACTCCTGCAGTAATGTCGAATGAACATTAAACTGGCATCATTTGAAAAGTTATCATTTACTGAGACAGTTGAAATTCATTTTATGAAAACTCAGTGACATGTCGAATCCTGGAAAACGTAAACGAAATTTTACATGACTGCAAAGTTTGTTTGATTTATCAACAATGCATTTTGGATACACTTTTAAAAACTTATATTCTGAAGTATTCCAGAAATGCTTTTTGTCGAGGTCAAATATCAAGGTATTCTGTTACTGTTATTTAATAGGTTTTGAAAAGTAAAATTACACGAGTTTCCTTCAAAAAATTAAGCAAAACGTTGTAATGACGTCATTTGCAAATATCGAAAAATATCTAGTATGAACTGAAGTATTGATACATAATACTACTTATATAATTTATTTCATGGGTTATTAATTTGAAAAATATCAATGGTTTGTTTCTCCAGATGAAAATAGGAATTTTTTAAGTGATGCCTTTTGACCTTGATTTACGGCAAGATTGTACCAGCTTTTATATTTACGACACATATTTTAAGAAAGTACACAATTTCAGATTTCCAATGAGCTATTAAAATCCCATGAGGTGTTTAGGTAATTAAAATTTCTAAAATTGTCCTCTTCGCCGCTCCACTAAAATAACAGGTACCCAAATAAATGTTTGTTTATTTATACTTGTACAAAAATGTCTCCTGTTACCCCGCTTCCATGTTGAGCAAGCGGTAATGTGAATATTTCTTTTTGCGTAACAGTTCATTTTGGTGTCCTCTTCGCGGTCCGCTTTAAACTATTTCTTTAAAATATTTTAGACAACGATTTGGATTTTAACAACTAGCATTTCAAATTTCGGGTGTAAATTGCAGAATAAAACAATAAATATACATTGTCAGAAAATATAAGATAAATTTGTACTCGCTACCTTGCTTTTTGTCCTGTTTCGAAAGCTCATAAAAATAAATTTTATATTT